AGCAGAATCCAAAAAATAAAGCGAACAAGTTCGTAACGGGGCGAGAATGCGGTGAAATACGAAAAGGTGGTCAAAAATCGGACGAGGGCTTTTCTTTTTCTGCACGGCTTTTGTAAATCGTCGCTTGGGTTTCGGGAAGAAGGAGGAGGAGGAGGAGGGTGGCCGGGTCGGCCAATTAGCCGGCCGACCAGTCAATCGTTCAGCCATTCAGCCAGTCGGACAGACCGACAGCGGCCTTCGGCAGCTTTTTCCGCAAGAACAGCGCGGGCGCGAATGGCACAGCGGCCTCTCACGAATTTTGCTTTTCACCATTTATTTTAATTGATCCTACAATAACTTTTGTGTGGTGAATACCTGCATGTGTGTGTAAGAGAGAGAATGAGAATCCAAGTGAAAAACGTTTACAATCACTCTTTGGTTGGTGATTACTGATTCACACGCAGTGAGCAGCGAAAATAAAGAACGACATAGTGGCCTACCTAAATAATATTTGTACTTTCGAAATGCCAAAGAAGCAGTTAAGCAAATATTCCCAGCTGGCACACAACATCATTAGACTTTAATATTAGGTTAGATTTAAGTCATGACATCAGGTGACCAAAATTCAATGTCTGTCAACATCTAAGAACAACGTTATTTTGACGTCTAATAACGACATCAAATTACTTTGATATCTGGTTGATTTTTTTTGGTTGTGTTTGAAAGTTACCAAAACCCAACGCCTGATAGATGTCTTAGTGGTAACATTCACACAACGTCAAGGTGTGACATTATCAGACGATGATATTTGGTGTATTTTAGGTTGGATGTTGGACGTTAATGTCGGCTTGATGATAGATTCTGAAGTCAACACGATTTTCATTTCCAAACAAAATCTAACATCCCCATGATGTTGGTGTACATTGGGGTACAATGTCAGTATGACGTCATGTTGATGTACTATGCCTGCAGGGATATTTTTTTAAAACCACGAGTAAATCTGATAATGAGCCTGATCAAAAGAGATCTCGATGAAACTGCACGAATGAATCAGGATAGCGGGAGACAGAAGCAAAGTGATCTCAAGTCAGAGAGAAAATATGATGGAAGAGCTAATTGTGAACTCTTCTTAAAGATTAGACTGAGCGAGTCATTTTCGCTTTTGCATAATAGTGAAGTGAACTGAATGTCAGTGGTGTTAGTAAACTAAATAGCATTGTTTATACGATTTATGTTTGTAGCTACATGTTTGTGTGTAATTTTAATCTATGGTTGACCCATAATTTTATATGGCACAAAATACTTCAAGAGTTCACACTTAGCTGGTAATTGGTAATAAAGCTAGTTTGGCAGTTTGGGAGAGAGCCCTGAGCTTGTAAGATCCTCGAGCCTGGGGCTACCTCCCATTTGCAGGACGAGAGGGGAGTTTGGGCTCAAGTAGATCTCGAGGACCCCCCCCTACCCTACTGCTGCTGCTTAAGGATTGCTATGAGGGTGTGCTGCTGGTGGAATTTGACTATGGTGCTGATTTGGTTTATTAAATTTACTAATGTTTCATGTTTTGGACTGTGAGACGAAACCGGAGGACCCGCGGACAACCCACGGAAGCACGAGGAGAACATGAACTCTGCACAGAAATGCCAGCTGGCCGGGTAGAGACCCGAACTGGAGGCATTCTTGTTGTGAGGCAACAGTGCTAGCCACTGGGCCGACGTGCTGCCCTATAGAGGAAAAAGAGGAGGAGAGAGGGTGGAAGGGGGGATTCTTCAAGACAAAGATGACTAAAGTAAGATCCTTTGGTTATTTATACTAATTTAGGAATCGTCTGATTGGTGGATCGTACATTAGCTTGACTCAGGGCCAGCTGTGTCAATCATAAGCATGTGATCCTCCCGAAATTAGTTTATAAATAAACTTCATTTAAAGACCGTTCAGAAATGTAATGCTTTTTTTCGATATGACTGCTTGGTAACGTCATGTTCCAGGAAAACTGAAAATTTTTGGTGGACGTCGGTCACGGTTACAATTTTTTCGGAAATAATTAATTTACAAATAAAGCACTGATCATATCCTTTATGTTTGTACTTACAAAGTTAAAATGGAAGTTACAATTTTTAAATAATTTATTAGTATTTTTCTGTTTCATAATAATGATTTTTATTATGTAGGAAACTTGCTACTTTTACGCATATTACAAATATTATCTTTAGTATGCTCAGTGCCATTTTAGGTTCGCAGGAACGTGCCCTTAAATCTTTTGATGCTGCAAACTGCATTGGATGGTTTGCCTTCCAAGGATTTTTCGATCTCTAATGTAAACCAGCAAGAACGTGAAGGAACTCCGTAGAGTTCGGAAGATTTATGGACCATTTGATCTCAGAATGGAAAGGTGCTTTAAGGCCTACAAAGGTTTCGGTGTGAGAGTGTGTGTGTGTGTGTGTGTGTGTGTGTGTGTGTGTGTGTGTACGTGTGCATGCCCTCGCTGAAACGACAGTGAAAAGCCATTATTATTAAAAATAATAAAAACACAGACGCACTCATATGCCGAAAGACACATGCACAGACATGCATTTACCCAAACACATAGCCAAAATGCACTAAAAATTTACGGCTCTAACATTCCTACAGGGTCAAGCAATTTATCAAATCCTCCACATTCTGGTTTCAATTACACAGCCTATTGTGAAAAGCGGCTATTTTAGCAGGTTCATTTGACTCAGTAGGGGACGCGAAAGCTCTCAGTTAATGCGCCTTCTCCAAAGGCTGCTCGCTCGGGCCTTTGCTGAGGAGCCGAGTCGGAGGTTTTGCGAGAATAATGGACAGTGGCCTCCCTCTCTCTATCAGCTTTTAACAGAAAGGCCTATGACTGTGGTAGAGAGGTGATAAATCCACGTTTTATTACTGAAGAATTCCACTCTCTCCACAGGCCTGACAGCTCCCCACGTTCTCAGACCCTTTTGGACAATTTCAACACCGTGTCCATCTGGTTCTGATTAAGTCCCAACTGGCCTGCATCGCATCCAAAGAGACGAGACCGTGATGGAGAAGAAAGGAGGGAAAGGGGGCAAGGTGAGAACGAGGAAGAAATGGCAGCCGAAGCATAACAAAGCCAGATCGACAGAGACTGACTGAGAGCCGATGCCAACAGAAGAGAGATCTGTAACGGATGCCCAACATGGGCGTCATTACCGAAACACTGTATCGTTACATCAATGGCCCTGCCATGGCCAAAAGACATTATTTGGAGAGAGTATCCAGCTTGTAGCTGGTGTTTATTAGCCTCTCTTCTGGCACCTGCTCCCACACAGAGCATGCCAACAGTCTTCCTCGGCTCATTCTGCCTCTCACTATCAAACTAATGATCGCGGTTATACCACAAACTGAAAATCAACCACAAAACCAATCATAGTGTCAATTTTGGGAAATTGAGATTAACATATGATCTGAAAGCTGAATAATTATGGGTCACACTTTACTTTGATGGTGAGTTTGTTGAATTGAAGTTACATTGCATCTACATGCCAACTAATTCTCATTAGATTGTAAGTAGCTTGGGGTTAGCATTGGTTAGTTTAAGTTAACATGTATTCGCAAAGTTTCCTATAGTCAATTGAATGTCTGTTGAATGAGCAGTATCAACAAATGTTCAACAGACAGTTTACTTATACTCAAATGGACCAAAAAAATAAAGTGTTACCTAATTATGCTTTCCAATGTATTATAAAAATATTTGTTAGGATAGATTCGATATTTAGGATGAGCTTTTGAAAATAAAAATCTAAATACAGAGAGTATTGTTTTTAAAGTTTAAAATTAAGTTCTTAGCAATGCATATTACTAATCAAAGGTAACATTTTGATATATTTACAGCATAAGATTTACAAAATGTTACATGAATTTGAATATATAAAAAGATATAGTTCAATCACAAATGAAGAAGCCTTTAAATGTTTATCTTTATATGTTTCTTTAATTTGTTGACTACAAAAGAAGATACTTTGTAGAAAGCTGTAACAATTGACTTCCATAGAATAGTTAAAAGAAAAATCTTCATTTGTTTTCACTGCAAAAAAAATGCTGGGTTCCACACAATTCCTTCATGTTGTCCCAACACAAATTGATCAAGTTAATTAAATTAGTATTTTGTTTTTACAAATTGAAGTGGATTGAACATAAAACAGTTAAGTTGTCCCCCAAAAACTCAACAATTGAGTAGACTCAACAGACGATTCAGCTCTTTTAAATAAGTAGTTTGAACAAGCAGCAAAAGTGTTCAAGGGTGTTCATCAGAAGAATGAAATTCGAACGAGTTTAAAAAAATAAATAAATAAATGTGAGTGAATGACAGCAGAAGTTGCAGGTTTGAATGAATATGCCCTTAATATTCAATAAGGGGGAGATTTTTAGAAAAATAAAAATCAATAATTCTGACTCATATACAGTTGAAATCAAATGTTTTAAATTATTAAACCCCCTTTGAAATAGTTTTTTAGTTTTTTAATATTTCCCAAATTATGTTTAACAGAGCAAGGAAATTTCCACAGTATGTCTGATAATATTTTTTCTTCTGGAGAAAGTCTTATTTGTTTTATTTCGACTAGAATAAAAGCAGTTTTTATTTTTTTAAAAACTATTTTGGGGAAAAAATTATTAGCCCCCTTAAGCTATTTTTTTTTTCGGTAGTCTACAGAAAAAAACGTCCTTAAACAATAACTTGCCTAATTAGCCTAACCTGCCTAGTTAACCTAAATAACCTAGTTAAGCCTTTATAGAAGTGTCTTGAAAAATATTTAGTCAAATATTATTTACTGTCATTATGGCAAAGATAAAAATAAATCAGTTTTTAGAAATGAGTTATTAAAACTATTATGTTTAGAAATGAGATGTGTTGAAAAAATCTTAACTAATAAATAAACTAGGGGGGAGGGGGGTAATAATTCAGGAGTTTAGTAATTCTGACTTCAATTGTACATTGTGTTTTTGGCTATTGGCAAAAGTATAAAATTATCCAACACAAGAAATTGTGCTCCAGTGTCACAAATGTGATTATTCATCCACTCACGCATCATTTTCAAACCTATCTTCAGTCATTTCTGTTTTGACAATTACAAACACTCAATCAGCATTTTGTCTTTAAGGTGAACAGCCTTTAAAAGGAAATAGCCAATCAGGTAATCTCCCCAAATCATAACTCAAACATTGCCCAAAGCAAAACTCTATTGACAGCATCTGGGCAGCTCTCAGAGCAGCAACCTTCACTCCCAGAATAATCTCACTGATTATATTCACAAGAAAAACAGCCTCAGTTCCTCCCAGTGTTTTAACGCACACTGTACAGTGCAGATTGTATTTGTGGCAATGCTATAGGGAGGTGATGTGCATGTGTGTGTGATGGGAAGGGAGGTGGGCAGATGGTGGAGGTGTCATGGTGTGTCTGACCCTGTGGAGACCCCACGCCTCATCAGACGGTGAAACTCACCTACGCAGCTCAGCCTTTTCTCTTGAAGACGCTTCCCTGTAAAAAAAAAAAAAAAAAAATAGTGTTATTAATAAAAAACAGATGTGGACAACCGCAGACCAGCACTCAACGTGTGCCTCAGACTCACACAATGAAAATGATTCAGCGTAAATATGGATGAATAAAATAGTTCATAATCACACTGTATGGATTTTATGGAAAATCATCATTCAGCGCCTTTACTCTCAACCGATTTTTAGGAAAAGCTTCATAATTTTTACTCTTTTAGCTAGAAATCCAAATGAAATGAACACTTTAGTTCTTTATTCACAACTATATTTGTTGTAATGTGAATTATCTGATGTTTTTAGATATCATTACACAGACTATACACATCATATAATATCAGAGAGTTTATTTGCTGTTTGGGACTCACAAGGTTACACATAACTCTGCGAAATAACAATACCATTAAAAGCCAGACCGGGCGAATTAATCATTATCGCCATTAATGTCTGCTAACCTATTCAAATAGGTTTCTCTTTCCCAAAGTCTACCCATCTGTGTGGGCTTGTGTTATATTCAAATCACCATAATCAACTTTGCTGCGTACGCTGCATCTGGAAAACAATAATTAATGACTATGTTTAAAAACCTAATTTTTGCATCCTTGATAAATGAATAGACGGCTAATGGTGTCGTTTGAATAAAAAATGAAAGCTTGCGTGCGTGTTAATCTGCAATGAAAAAGCGTTCCAGTCTGCGCCATGTTTACGGTTATTTTAGCTCGGGAGCGTCGTGATGGCGTTCTTTAAAAGAAATCTTAGTCCAATAATCGTAAAAGTAAAAATGGGATACGAAAGCTATTTCATGCACCAGCATCACTCTGTCTTGAAATCCCCAAATAAATGAAATGGCCGCAATCAAGCCTCTGTCATCACCTGCCATCCCAGCTTTATTCGTCTTATATCATTATTTCGCCCCTGCAGAACTAATTTCACACAGCCTGCTGATTTTATGCTCAGTTTTTCTTTGTTGCAAAGAATATTTATCATGATCTCCATTTCAGAGGACCCACTCACTTTTATTGTGTTTAAATCATACTTATACTGACATTAAAATATAGTGAAATATTCAAATATACACTCACCGGCCACTTTATTAGGCATAGCTTACTAGTAAGAGGTTGACTCACTTTTGCCTTCAAAGCTTCCTAAATCCTTCGTGGCAGAGATTCGGCAATGTTCTGGAAATATTCCACAGAGATCTATATTGAGATGATAGCATCATGCAGTTGCCGCACATTTGTCGGCTGCACATCCATGATGCGAATCTCTCATTCCACCACATCCCAAAGGTGCTCTATTGGATTGAGCTCTGGGGACTGTGGAGGCCGTTTGAGCACAGTGAACTCATTGTCATGTTCAGGAAGCCAGTCTAAGATGATTCACGCTTTATGACATGATGTGTTATCCTGCTGGAAGTAGCCATCAGAATAAGGGTACACTGTGGTCATAAAGGGATGGACACGGTCAGCAACAATACTCAGGTAGGCTGTGGCGTTGACACGATACTTAAGTGGTACTAATGGGCCCCAAATGTGCCAAGAAAAAATACCCTTACACCACCAACAACAGCCTGAACTGTTGATAAGGCAGGATGGATCCAGGCTTTCTTGTTGATGAGGCCAAATTCTGACAAAATAATCTGAATGTTGCAGCCGAAATAGAGACTTATCATACCAGGCAACGTTTTTCCAATCTTCTATTGTAAAATTTAGGTGAGCCTGTGCAAACTGTAGCCTCAGTTCTTAGCTGACAGGAGTGGCACCCAGTGTGGTCTTCTGCTGCTGTAGCCCATCCGCCTCAAGGTTAGATGTGTTGTGTGTTTAGAGATGCTCTTCTGCAGACATCTGTTGTAACGAGGGGTTATTCGAGCTACTGTTTCCTGTCTATTAGCTCAAACCAGTCTGGCCATTCTCCTTTGACCTGTCAACAAGGAATTTGCGCCCACAGAACTGCGGCACACAGGATATTTTCTCTTTCTTAGGTTATAAGCATATAGTACTAAAAAACATCCCCTCTAAAGTGGGACCATTTCAGATTTTGTTGTGAATTTCGTTTCATTGAAGGTGAAGGTAGTTAAAAATTGGATCTAAAAGTGACTTTTAAAGAGGACAAGGTTGTAGGAAACCTAAGAAACTCTCCGCAAATGAAGTGACAGAATAGACACAACATGAATGAAAAAAACTAAATCACATTTCCTTGATTCTCAATGGTCCAGGAAGCAGTACAGATTATTACAGGGAACTCAAAGGCCCAATTAAACGTGATGGATCACATCACTTGTGATTTTATCCGCTATTGATGAGTGTGAGCTTTGGCCGCAAGAAAAAAACAGAAATGCAAGAAGCAGACATGTTACGTCAAAACTATCAATTCCCACTTAAGCCCCGAGACTGAACGGAAAAGCGAATTTAACACATAAACACTCCAGATTTGTTTTAACACACAGAGAGGCCGATATGACGCAGACTGATATGTCTCCTGTAAGCACCACTTGGACTGCGATGACATTGATTATGATTTTCAGCCTCTCAGAGGTTGATCTGCCCGCCAGCACAGTCAGGCTGACCTGCTAATGCCATATGTCTCCAGCAAGAGCTTCTGAGAAAGGAAATCTGACTCTGGTCAAACTCTTACCGCCTAAACTGTGGTAAAAAATCACTCTGTCTGGTGTTATTTTTGACACGTCGGCCAATATTTTGGATCGTTTGCGATGACAGAGATTTTAAATCAGGCTGACGCGCTTTCGTGAATGCCAAGATTTGCTCCAAAAGCAGGTACGGCGGCAGAAAGAGCTTAATGTGCTGAAATTAAGGAATACACATGGAATATCAAAAAACACCAGCAAATTAGGAAAAGATCTTCATCGGTTTAACAGCATATTCATACAAACTCTCACAACGCAAACAAGTTAAGAAAACTCCTTGTATTTTCTCACAACACAATGCAAACCCACTTGCTAAGTCGTGACGTATTAAATATTGCTTCCAGGTCCAAGCTGCTACTCATCTGCATTGAGAAAATATTCAATTATGACCACTTTTTAGTCATATTAAAGTGACTTTTATATAAAATTATGGTGTACACGACAGTCCCTGGACTTGCTGCATCACAGACACCAATATTTTAACAATTTGTAATGAATTTGCCTCTTTCTGGCCATCGGAAGTTAGGCATAAACATATATATCGCAATCGTAATTTTCAAAAATATTACATCGCTTTGTAAACATTTATTATTACAATTTGTTCAGTCTCTCTATACAGTTTGATAGAGTGCTTGGATGCGGAAGTTGCTTCGCATGACGTGACACTAAACAAGTGGATAGCTCGAAACACAAACAATTCAAGAGGACCCAAAAACGTGACGGACCTAGATAGTATTTGATTATTGTGCCATGACTATTGCAAAGTAAAGTTGTAGATGATCTTTGAAAGGTGAGTTTTTTGTTTATGTTGACATTCTAATTACATTATTCCCTTTTATTTTGCACGCAATATAAGCGCAATATTGCACGCAAAAACGTAGCCCTATATACATTTCTGAAGATCACAAATTATGTAGCTAGAGGTACACATGGCTGGATTTCGTTTTTTTCAAAATGAACGCTACGGGGTGATATGATGCTGTTCCTGCTGATGCTGACTGCTTACCTCAATATTGATGGCTTTCCCGCTGTTACCAATTTGTCCAGTTACGTTGGCGGACTTGAGACGCAGAGAAGAGTTGACCATGATGACGGGGTTCAAGTGTGTTGAAGAACGATTCCAGAAAGCAAAGAAGACAAAAACAAAATCTCAAATTAAAATAAACAAGTTAATAACAGGCTGAGAATGAGGTAAAATCTGAAAACGTGGTAAAAAACCAGGCGAGGACATTTCTTTATCTGGATAACTTTTTAAAATTGTTGGCTGGGTTTAGGGCGTTGGGTGGGCGGGTCAACCGGTGCTTTTGAAAACACTATTGGTTGGGTTTAAGGAAGGAGGAGGGTGGGTCAGTCGATCTTTAAATCAGTCAGTCAGTCAGTTGACAGCAGCCTCTAGTGGATTAACATGAGAACAGCAGGCGCAAACAGCAATCGCAAGAAAAATTTGAGATCTGAATAAGCATATACAGCGGCCTCTGGTGGATTCATAAAAACAACGGCAAAAAAAAAAAAAAACGTAGCTCCTGGAACGTATTTGGTGCTCTCCAGAAATGTATACAGAGATACGTTTTCAGAATGAGTCTGGGTTGTTTGTATATTATTATCCTCAATAATAATAACCTAAATAGCAGGATCCGTCAAGCTTTTGGGTCCCCTTCAAACATTTACATTGTGTTCTCTGTTATTTGCATGTGTTGTGAGAAAATGCAGTGTTTTTTTAAAGTAGTTTGCACAGTAAATTAACAACATGTACGCTGTCAAACCGATGAGGATCTTTTCAAAAATTGCTGGTGGTTATTTGTAATTGAATGTTCTTTCTTAAATTACAGCACGTTAAGCTCTCTCGACCACCATATAAAGGGGTAGTTCACGCAAAAATTAAAACTATGTCATCAATTACTCACCCTTCTCATGTTTCAAACCTTTAAAAGTTTCTTTATTCTGAAAAAAAAAGAAGAAATTTTGAAGAACGCTGAAAGCTTGTAATAATCATCAACTGGTTTTCAGCATTTTTCAAAATATCTTCTTTTGTGCTCACCAGAGGAAAAAAACGCATAAAAGGCACTTAAAACAGAGTAAAAGGTGTACTAAAATAATATTCTGGGGTCCACAAAATGAATTTGTGTTGGCACAACATGAAGAAATTAATTTAACTTACTAGTTTTTAAAAATTTATGTGGATTGAACTTAAAACAACTAGGTTGTCCCAAAAAATAAATAAATCAAAAGTTATGTTGTTTCAGTTCATTTTAAATAGGTAGTTTGAGCAAACATAATTTTTTGGAGTATGAGTGTGTTTCAGTTTTGGGTGAACTATTCCTTTAAGAACCTGACAAGCAGACAAGCGCAATTTACGAGTCGGTTTGGAGAGCAGCCTTGCACAGAGATGGGGGAAGTGTGAACAAATTAATTTATTTTGGTAATCTCTCTCTGCCTCTCTCTCTTTTTTTGCTGTCTTTGTCAAAATGAATGACAACAATTTGGCTGAGGATCTGGGATGTGCAGGCAGCATTGACAGGCGAATTATCAGGGGCCCGGCGCTCCTTATTATCAGCGGAGAACTCATCAGAGGTGCGGGTCCAGGAGTCCTCTCCGCTGTCACTATCTGTCAGTAGGACAAGCTCTGCTCCAAGGGCCAGCTGACAGGTCATTTCAACAATAACAATTACTCCGATTACTGGTGTCATAAACAATTCACCCAAGGCAGAGCAATAACAAAGCTTTATAATTCACAGCCACATAAATAAATGCCAGCAGGTAACAAGTAATTTACCAGAGGAATGGATCCCAATACATGGCGCGTTTCATTGTTGCGGGGAGGGCAAATGAAAGCCAGGCACTGGAAACATACATGATAACAAGAAACAGGAATTCGGCCATTAGAAAAATTACACCTTAAAACCAATGCACAAGGTGTACTGTGTACTGTGACAGACAGACAGACAGACAGACAGACAGACAGACAGAGATAGATAGATAGATAGATAGATAGATAGATAGATAGATAGAGAGATAGAGAGATAGATAGATAGAGAGATAGATAGATAGATAGATAGATAGATAGATAGATAGATAGATAGATAGATAGATAGATAGATAGATAGATAGATAGATAGATTTATTGTTCATTTTTTGTCCATGTATACACTACCTAAAAAACCCTTATTGTAAAATGTTAAATAAACAGACAGACAGACAGACAGACAGACAGACAGACAGACAGACAGACAGTCACACTTTACAATAAGTTTTAATTAGTTAATGTATTTACTAACATGAACTACTGAACAATAATATTACAGCATATATTAATTTTTAGTTCATTATTTACTAATCCATTATTAAAAATAAAATCCATTAATGTTAAATATCTAATTTAACAATAAACAAATGTATTCCCATTAAATAACGTTAACAAAGATTAAAACATTAAAAAATAACTGTATTGTTCATTGTTTGTTCACATAAAACAACCTTATTGTAGACAGACAGACAGATATAAATAGATAGATAGATAGATAGATAGATAGATAGATAGATAGATAGATAGATAGATAGATAGATAGATAGATAGATAGATAGATAGATAGATAGATAGATAGATAACTTTATTCCCATTAACTAACATTAACAAAGATTAATATAACTTGCAATAAATGTATTGTTCATTGTTTATTCATATTATTAACCAATAAAACCTTATTGTAAATGGATAGTCACACTTTACAATGTTTAATTAGTTAATGTATTTAATAACATGAATTAATAATGAGCAATACTTTTGCAGCACTTAATAATCATAGTTCATCATATACTAATGCATAATTAAAATTCAAATGTATCCTTTACTACCTATTTGCTTATACTTTATTCCCATTAACTAACATTAACAAAGATTAATAAATACTGTATAATAGAGGAGACTGAGCACAGCAGAGACACTTTTTGCTTTTTTTTAATCACTACACAAAAACTAGACTGTATACTAAAATATCACAAATAGATAATAGCCATAAGTAGTTTATATTTTCCACAATTATCTCATAAACATAAGACATTTTTGTCTTAACAGTAGTCATGCAGTTGAAACAGTATACCATGGGTTGAGACACCATTTATTATTGTGTTGTTCATTGCCTGTTCATGTTAATAAATGCAGAACTAATGCTACATTAGTGTAAAAGGATAGATAGATAGATAGATAGATAGATAGATAGATAGATAGATAGATAGATAGATAGATAGATAGATAGATAGATAGATAGATAGATAGATAGATAGATAGATAGATAGATAGATAGATAGATAGATAACAAATATTTGATAAAACGTGGTCAAACCCAAACCAATTTTTTTTACTTAATAGCTAACACATCAACAGCTGATTTTGTTCATATTTTACTAATAAACTGCGCTAAAATCTGAACATAACAATATTAAAACAGCCTACCGTATTTACGCATTAATAGTGAGCTATTTCAAACAGTATTTTTAGGGTGTTTATTTAGAAACAATACCCACTGTGAATGTAAAATAGCGTGGAGTGCGTGATCTGACGCTGTGATGTTGAGCTGTATTTAGGTGGCAGCGCGTTTGATGCGGACAGACATCAGCTCTCCGCCCTGCAGCACTTCAACAATCCAGAAATCCCTAATGAGGAGAGCTGTTGAGCAATTAACACGTGTCAAACTCGCCATCATCAGGTGCCTCTCTAATTTTCTCACGATAGCTCTGTACTTTTCCGCTTTCTTTTTCTGCTGCACGTGGGAATCAGACTCTGCTCTGCTGATTTCTCTGAGAGTCGCGCGCGCGGCACTTAGTCTGTGATTGCAAGCTAGCGATTTCTTTACTCGATTTCTGTCTTTTAGGAGAAGAAGTCAAATGAGACATGCTTAGCGAGGAATAATCACATCGGCAGTGATGCTCATCGACCTCATTGCGGACATAAACACTCTCAAATGACGCTTCTCGAGGCGAAAATGCTTGAAGCTCCCCAAAATGCCATCCGCATTTACTAATGAAATTTGTAAATAACACGTCTCTTGAGTTGGTGTAAATTTAACATTCGATTCTGTTTTGTTTTATAATATTACTTCTATGTAAATATGTTATGATCATAAATAGAAAACGGTAATCTTTATTATTAATTCTGAATATATTTTAATATGCATAATAGAGCTGAAATGCCAAGACGCAAGGCATATATATTAGCATTTAGGGGAACTGATGTCCAATAATTCGATTCCAAATTATTTATTTACACCACAAATCAGTCAACTGTCGATTGCCTGGATTTTTAATTTAAAAGATACAAATACTGTAATGTTTATACATGAAATCTGCTAAAATAATGTAACGAAAATCGCGCGCGGTAATGAAAATAAATATTAAGTCATTAAATATCTCCACAATCCCCATCAACATAAAAGAGAATCAGAACCGAGAAGTGGACACGTTTCAAATAAACCGCTTATGATCTCTATAAATTCTACAGTAAATTAAATTAAAGCCCTAATATATATAAAAATAACAAAATCGAGACTAAATAAGTTTAAAAACTGCATTGCTTTAAAAATAAATTTCGAAATTACCTTGATTTTTAGATTTTTCTAAGTGTAATCAATAAAACTTGCATTATACTTTTAACATTACTTTAATATCATATCATATATATATATATATATATATATATATATATATATATATATATACACACACACACACACACACACACACACACACACACACATTCATATAAAATATTTATAAAAAAAAGAGAACATCACATCTTTATAGTATAATTTATAATATCCACAACTGTAACATCACAGTTTCACAGCTGTAAACACTGCTTTACCATGCTTCTGAATTTAATTCACTATTTATTGCACCAAAGCTTTGCAGATTACATAAACACACACACACACACACAGACACACACACAAATTCCCCCTTGCCAGCATTCCAATCCATTAGGATCCTCCTGACATTTCTAATCATTCCAACTACAGCTGATTAAATACATCTAAAGGAATCAATCTCCAACTTCACCCTGCCTCCTGATTAACTGAACTAGTTAAGCACAAATTCCACTGGGTGTAATTGAAGTAAAGCTGGTATATAAGAGCATTGCCTTACAGTGCAGGATGAGAAAAATGTGCTTTTGTTACCAGATCGCAGAAGAGAGAGAGATAGCAGAGCTCATCCTGGTTGCTGGATTTGGGGAGGGGGGGAGACTCAGTCAGCTGCAGTTCGTCTTCTCTTCTTGGACCACCATCCTTCCTCTTTTTTTTTTTGGGTTGTGCATCTCATTTGCATACATTTGTTTCCAGCCGTGGAGGCCTTCAGCTCATTAAGGCGTTCTCTTACAATCTCCCAGAATCCTGCTGCTCTCAGCCACTACCTGCTGCGGAACGAGAACACTGCTAGGCGCTGGAGAAAGAAAAGAAAGAAAGGAAAAAAGGAGAGGGGAAGAAAGCAGAAGGGAGGGGGGAAAAGGCAACACGTTCTTCGGCTCAAAACAAAAGCGCAGGGCTGGTATAAAGGAATCCACTGTGTGTGTTTGTGCCTTGTTTTTTACTCTCCCTTGGAAGCGGCCAGTGTTTTTGTGTTAAGTAGCCTCCTGTCATGACAGATACCTCCAGGGGTCAAGAGTCAAAGTTGAGGGGAGGGTCAGCAACACAACATGCACGCCAAACGCTCAACTGGACACCTATAGATCCAAGGGGTGTGTTTTTGTAGCATACACTCTTGAATGCGTACACAAAGTGTGCAGGTCACACAATTATTAGCATTATTTTTTGTCTCATTGTGAGGGTCTGTATGACATTAAATGTATGGAAGGGATTTTAGATACAGTTGATGTCAGAATTATTAGCCCTCCTGTATTATTTTTCCCAATGTCTGTTTAATCGAAAGAAGATTTGTTAAATTGTTTTCTAAACACAATAGTTTTAATAACTCATCATTAACAATTGATTCATTTTATCTTTGCCATTATGACAGTAAATAATATTTGACTAGATATTTTTAAAACACTTCTTTACAGCTTTAAGTGACATTTAAAGGCTTAACTAGGTTAACTAGGCAGGTTAGGGTAATTAGGCAAGTTATTGTAAAATGATGGTTTGTTCTGTAGATTATATAAAAAAATAGCTTAAAGAGGCTAAGAATTTTGTCCTTAAAATGGTGTTTAAAAAAATAAAAACTGCTTTAATTCTTGCTGAAATAAAACAAGCAAGAAAAAAATATTATCAGGCATGCTATAAAAATTTCCTCAATCTGTTAAACATCATTTGGGAAATATTTTAAAAACAAAATAAACTTGATAGGGGGGCTAATAATTCTGACTTCAACTGTATATGGAAAGGATGTTAAATGCAAGCTGTACTCCTAAATATGTGTTTCAAATAACATTTGAGAAACTAAAATGTAAAAACAAAGTTGAAATAATATTCCATCACCCTATACACAAATCTCTTGCTAATTAATACGTTTTATAGGGTGCTGTACACAGTAAAAAAAAAAAAAATAGCTGAATCAAATTAACCTTATGAGTCCATTGAACTTATATTATGTTAAAACTGACTTAGAACTGCTTGCATAACTTATACATTAAGTTAGAACATGTTAAAAAAGTTACAATTAACTAAAAACAAAAGCTGCTCATATGATTTTTTACAGTGTATACATTACATTATTCATTACCAAAACTGAACAAAATACCTTAAAACCAATTAGTACACCCCAATGGATATTTTAGGGAAAAAATATTAATCAAAATTTTAATAAAGAGGACAAAAATCAAGAGAATTAACCATACACATATTCATTTTTGTAGTTTGTATATGTATTTTTTAATACATTTGAATTTATATGCATTATCTTTATATTAATAAGTATTTAGTTGACCACACTCTAATTTTAATGAACTTAACTGTTTAATAAAAAAAAAAAACTTTTTTTTTTCAATGCAGCAAAATATATAGTCTATACTCACTGAAAATATATCATAAAATATACCCCTTACTTTTACAACATATTTTCAAATGTTGTGTGTGATTTATGTTGCACTTAAAAAATGTTTTATTAAACAGTTAAATTCATTAAAATGAGAGTGTGGTATAAGTATATGCATTACATACGGTACTTTTTCTGACTGAGAACTAACATTTCTCAACCTTTTAAATGATTCAAATTTTGTGGGAAACACTTTAAAAAGAATAGTGGGAATTGATACAAATTTAACATCACATTTAAAATTTAGGGACTAAACTGCAGTCTTTAAATGGATCCCTTTAATATGAATCTAATGATTTTTATTTTACAGCATGCCTGATCAAATATTTTTTTATATATAAACTGTTTTCGAAGAATAATAAATAATATATATATACACACATTAAAGTCAAAATTATTAGCCCCCCCCCCCTAATTTTTTTCTCTTTAAATATTTCCCAAATGATGTTTAACAGGTTCCCAGAGATGGGTTACGGCTGGAAGGGCATCCGCTGCATAAAAACTTGCTGAATAAGTTGGCGGTTCATTCCTCTGTGGCGACCCTGAATTAAGAAAGGTACTAAGCCGACAAGAAAATGAATGAATGAATGAAAGTTTAACGGAGAAAGGAAACTTTCACAGTATGTCTTATAATATTTTTTCTTCTAGAGAAAGTCTTAATTAAAAAAAAAATTAAGGTCAAAATGATTAGCCCCTTTAAGCGATATATATATTTTATTAGTCTCCCCTGAATTATTAGACCGCTTGTTTATTTTTTCCTCAATTTCTGTTTAACGGAGAAGATTTTTTTCAGCACATTTCTAAACATAATAGTTTTAATAACTTATTTCTAATAACTGATTTTTTGCCAAATAAATTTGGCAAGTTATTGTATAACGATGGTTTGTTCTGTAGATTATGAAGAAAAAATATTGCTTAAAGGGGCTAATTATTTTGTCCCTGAAATGGTGTTTAAAAAATTAAAAACTGCTTTTTTTGTAGCTGAAATAAAACAAATAAGACTTTCTCCAGAAAAAAAAATATTATCAGACATACTGTGAAAATTTCCTTGCTCTGTTAAACATCATATGGAAAATATTCAAAAAAGAAGAAAAACATTTGAAGGGGGCTAATATTTCTGACTTTAACTATATATATATATATATATATATATATATAAATCAATTAATAAACAAATATATAAATAAATAAATAAATAAATGCATGTATAATTTTTGGTTGCATTTTATTTTAAGGTGTCCTTGTTAAATGCTATCCTATACAATTATTTAAACTACTGAGTATTATTAATTAATTACATGTACTTGACATATGACTAGGGTTAGAATGCAGGTTAGGTTCAAGGTGAGTTCTGAGTAGATTTGCTATGGTTAGCGTGTTAAAAGTTTACAGCCTAAATAGGTCAAAGCTTTCAATTTAAGCCACTGAAAACTATCATTTTCATTGTTTGGAAAGTAATATCACTCCTCTGTTCAATAATCCACACAATAGGATATCATTCATGCCTGCAGCATATATAAAATTCACTCCAAAGTAGAGTTCAAATCCTAACCCCGCGTATAAGAAATAGTGATTATGAAGCTTGTCTTATCAAACAGCACTAATAAACAGTCCATTGAGTCTGAAAGCGGGGGTAAATGCTGATCCAGGGTGAAGTGCTGGAGTGACTCGAGTTTATTTAAAGCATGACGACCCCTGGCCAAAACCTGCTTCAGTGGAGGGATGAATAAAATTTTAATGGCTCATAAAACACAGCAATTCCTCTCAGTGCATTTTTCCTTTTTTTTGGAGCGCATTATTCGCAGGCGCGCCGTGTCGCCTCTTTTTGTCTGCAGAGTGAAAAGCTGCAGCGAGTGGCCACGGCTGGAGCACTGCTGGCATGGAGAAAAGCAAAGCCATGAATATCACACACACGTGATTAGTGGACTGAGACACTTTCACACACACACACACAAACGCGCGCACACAAAGATATGTGACCGAGACCACACTAACACAATATCTTGTGTCGATTGGGCATATTTTGGTAATACACTGTAAAAATGCTGGGTTCCACAATCAATTTGTGTAAAGACAACATGAAAAAACTTAACTTATTAGATTTACAAATTTAAGTGGATTGAACACAAAACAATCCCTCAAAATACTTAAAAAGTGTGTTGTTTCAGATCAGCACAAACAACTAATGTAAAGGGTAGCCAAAAATACATTGTATGGGTCAAAATTATAGCTTTTTTATAGCAAAAAGCATAAAAATATCAAGTAGAGGTCATGTTCCATAAATATATTTTGCAATTTTCAACAACAAAATTAATGTGCATCTCTAAGCACTTGATTCAGACAAATTAAAAGGCAACTTTCAAAGTATCTGAATTTTTTTAAACCCTCATAATTTCACATATTCAAAGTTTCTTGGCCAAATAGTTTACAATCCTGGTCACATCAGCGGAAATTTTATTTATTCAGTTTTGAGTTGATGTATGCATCCCATTTTCCAAAATTGACACTTATGATTTGGGATTTTTGTTGTGCAACGTCACATATATATTTACTTGTCTAAATAAGATTTTACCACAAAATTAAAAAGAGTAAAATCAGCTAAATATATTGTTTTGTTAAGACATTTAGTTCTCATTTATGAGGAACATTTTGTTCGAAATAAAATAATAATAATAAAAAGCTAGATTTGTAGAATAAATTTAAAATTGAAACGTACACCTAAAGAAAACATGTGGAATTGAATAGTTTTTTATCAGTGCCCCTTATTTTAATTTGACACTTGTACAATGTGCAAAATATAGTCTTAACAAAATATGCTAAATTACATTCAAACCAAAGCCTAATCTTAAAGATGAAGATCCCACATAAATGTTAAATATAAAGTGTCCAATGGATTGTACATACACAAAAATTATTATTATTATTATTATTAATATTTTTTTATGCTTGTTCATAGTACTTATTTAATCTTTTTGTGATTTTTTGGGAAAAACATAATTGTTTTATGTGCAATCCACTTAAATTTGTAAAAACAAACACGTTAAGTAAATCTATTTGTGTTTGAACAACATAAATTAACTATGTGGAACCCAGTATTTACTTTTACAGTGTACAATGTAAAAACGCAGATTTTCACACAATCGATTTGTATTAGGACAGCATGAAGGAATTAAGTTAACAACATCATTTTTTTGAGAGTGGAAACACTATTCGAATACTTATTAGAATACATTTTTATACTTTTTTATGGTTTAAACAAAGTCAGTGTACACATGCAATCAACATATTGTATTACAATAATAAATATTAATTCATTGTAGGTATGTATTTACATTACACGTATAGTTTATATATGTACGTAACAGCAGCTGTCATTGATTTCTTTAAACACTTCAGTAATTATGCTGTTGACTAACCCGTAAACAACTAATCCTGTTTTTAACCACATCTACAAGAGCAGTAGATTTGCGATACAGCATGAAAATGATTTATATTTTTGGTAAAACTTTATGTTAAGGTGTCCTTGTTACACATGCCCCATAATTACAATGAGCTATGCATAATTACATGCCACTAACCCTAAACTAAACCCACATTCTAACCTCAACCATATAGTAAGCATGTAATAATTAATGTTACTCAGTAATAAACTGAATAGCTACAATTGTGACAACCTTAAAATAAAATGTAACCATATTTTTATTATTAACTCAATAATTAATATTTTCTGATGCAAGTGTGCAATCAGTTGTTAAGCTTTTTTAACATTTTTATGCATTGACAAGATGCTAAGCCTGTTTACAATGTAACAATGTCGCCTTAAAATAAAGAATAATCAGGTTTATTATTTATTTTTTGATTGATTTATTCATAAATTTTATTTATTT